CCATTACTGTCACCCACTTGTAACCTACTGTACCTACAGCAGAGTGCCACCCACTTGCCTGCTTTTTTAAATTGTGTTTGTACTATAAAATACAACTTTCTATGTATTTACATTGTTCATGATTTCTACCACAATTAAAGATATATATTTTAGATTAGGTATATCTTTAATCGTGATTTCTACATAAAACAAATAAAAATAATAATTCAAATTTACGCTCGCACAATCAGATTATCAAAATAATGATAAAAATAATTCACGCAGTCATAGACACCACGAACTAAGATATACAGGACTGAACACTATAGGGCGGAGGGGGTGGGTGATGCGGTCAGAAAATCTTGCTCGTCGGTGCATTTGTGAATAAAGCGCCATCTATTAACATCAGTAGTAACTACAAAGTTCTACATTTATTTTAAGAATAAAATACAATTATGACATAGATTTTAGAGTACATTTTACTAGTCATCTTACTACATCTTAGTTAATGTATCTAAGCTGCTTAGTATATTATTTAGTAAAATATTTTAAAATTATAATATATTTGCAATATTTTTACAATGGGTCGATTATGTAGCGTTATAAATTGTTCAACTCGCAATTCCAAAGTGACACCTGAACGTATAACATTATTTTCATTACCAAAAGATGACTACTTAAAATCTCAGTGGATTAATGTAGTTTGTGCTGTTAACAATAGAGAAACTAATGTCAAATTTGTATGTGCCAAACATTTTAAGACTGAAGACATTAAAAGGACATATTATGGCTCTGAAAACTTAGGCTCTGAGGTAAACAATGCTGATGTAGAGTAGTATAAAAATTTGATACATTCAATATTACTGTTCTATAAATTAAATAATAAAAAAAAAAATACATGTAATCTATACTTATAGGATATTGATTAACAAATTACTTGTATGTAATTATTTAACACAATTACTTAATACTTATATCTAGTCTTGGGCTCTACGTTCACGGCCAGAACTGAATTTTGGAGCAGTTCCTTCTATTTTTGAAACTTCACCCAGTCACACCTCAAAATTATCTTCAAATGTAGCTTTGTGTAGATATCCAGAAGAAAATGTTGAAATTGTTAGTATCTGATTTTTCATTTTTGCTAAACATGTATATAGGTATCCCACATGAGCACACCTATGTTCATATAATAATTTGTGGTGTTATTAATTAAACAAATTTACTTTAGGAAATATTTGAAGATTTTGTTAAAATAGTTCCTACAATCGATTTGCCTGTTGGATGGACATATCATTTAGAACATAATGTTGTGGCATTTTGTTTTTTAAAATCATTTATGAGTGAAAATCTTTTGATGATGATTGAAAAACAAATTTTGGTTAAGATTGATTTAAGTGTAAAATATTACTTCACTAATAGAGAACTAGACCTATCACATTTAAAAAAATACATTTTTGTAAAATAGGTATAGAATAAATTAATAAAAATATAAAATAAACTTGAAAAAAATTAATAACTATTGTCAATTTGATATTTCTTTAATAATATTACCTACCTTCAAATTTCAATCTTCATAACAAATATATATTTTAGATATTTGTAACCATGCAATATTAAATCGTACGTATGTAATGCAAGACCGTAAATTATAGACAAAATTAAATCATTTAAATTAAATATGATTCGATACGACATCATAGATAATATAAGAATGGATAGGACATGCCTATACCAGTTCCATATTATGAAAACGTGCAATTTTGGGGAAAAGAGAACGTAAAGAAAGAAAGACGATATGAAGCTTTTTAAGGTTATGTGCAAAACTATTTTATTAAATAATAATAATAACATGATAGTCAGTTATATTTAGATATTTGTAAGTTTGTATTTTGATTGTTGTGCCACCTGTGCCAGGAAAATGGAAATTGGAAAATAATATTTTAACAAAATTAAATTATATACATTTTATTGAGAAAAGCGGTTCATAATATTATAAAGTGCACTTATTCCACTGACAAAATCGGCGGTGCAGAAAGTGCAAACGAGTGTTGCACTGCAATCAAATCGAATACAAAACACTCCGCCAGTTCACAAAATATTGGTCAAATCGAATACGTTTATGCACTCAGTGCAAAAAGTGCGTCAAATCGAAAACGCTATTAGTAAACCGACAGAGTGCGCCACATACACCAAGGTACACTTCAGCAAGAGTACCCGACCGCAATATCTAGAGTCGTTACCAGTCCTGTATATCTTAGTTCGTGATAGACACGGACCACGGACTAAGATACTAAGTTATATCCACAGATATAAAATACACAGATATTTTATATCTGTGGTTATATCTTAGTCCGTGGTCATAGATAATAGAAGATTCTATTATCTATGCGCACAGTGATAATGATGAGCTGGGAACCACGATTGTTTATGAGTAACCATGGTTATGACTCACTACTAAACAGGTGATGGTAAATGGTAAAATGCCATTTATTTATTTATTATTTTTTTTTTTAATTAAAAGTGCTACTCTTATTTTAAAATTTAAATGCTTTTAATTTATTATATCAATATTTAAAAAATATATGATATATTGGTTTAAATTTTTTTCTATTTGAAATTTGAAATGGTTGATTTTTATTAGGCCACTTGTTTTTTTTAATACTAGTACTTGGCAACACTGCTCACTAGGTAGGTACACTGTATGTCTGTATGAAATAGAAATAGGTACAATCAACTGTTTAGTTTTAAATACAATTTAGTTGTTTGTTCTAATAAACATTTTATTCGTCCATCACAAAGTTGTGTGCCAATCCTCTGAGGTACTCTATAATGTTTCGGTTTCTATAATCTCGGACTAATGTTAAAATACGGTTACTAGCATCAACGTATTTTCGCTTAGTCCGCGGTGGTTCGTTGCCTGCCACTAAAAATTCATAATATATGTCACGCTCTGCCTGCACTTTTTTCAGCTCATTTATGAACCTCCATAATGTGGGATTTGTCATACCGAGCTGTGCCTGTAGACGCCTATGAGCAGCTTCCGAAATGTTATTGGTTTTCTGAAAAAGAGGTAATGAATTTTCTTTTAAAAGTTTTTTAATTATAGCTGGAAAATCAATATTCATAATAACTAATTTTATAATTTGTAGATGAAATATTTGGCAGTGTTTTTATGGTAATATTATGGTAAGGTCTACCAGTTATATACAAATTATATGTAGGTCAATAAGGGCGCTTAAAAAGAATACATACTAAGAATACCTACTCACATATTATAGTAAGTCGAGTGACAATACAACAAACAAATTCCATATATTATAAGGGATTTATGAATAGGTATTATTTTATTATATCTAGGTAGGTATCAACATGTAATTATTATTTTATAATCAATAGTCTTACCATTTTTTTTTTTTTGAAATTAAATTTAAAAGTTAAGTTTATAAAATATAATGTCATGATTGAGAAAAATTTAAAAAGATCCAAACCCAAAAGTTCCATTTACAAAAGATTTGTAATATAAATACCTATACTAACATAGTACTTTTACCTCATACAAATTATTTTTTAGCACATTATTAGTATAACAAATTTTATTAATTTATTGTGTAACTGTGTAAGTATTCAATTAGGAAGATACTTACCAAAATAATTTTGAAGTACCTAGTACCTACCTACCTTTTTAACCATATCATAAAAACGTTAAATTATATTTTATTGTGATAGTTATTGAGTAAAATGATTACTTGTGTTAATTTTATTTCAATGATATATGTTTATTTGTAATCTTATAAAAGTGTATAATATATATCGTTGGAAGTTGTAGTGTAGTAAAAAACGATAACAATTGAGCAAGGAGCTACTGATTTAATGTAATGTTTAAAATGTATTAAGTTAATTATAATAGTGATGTCTTGGTCTGCGACCAATGTTTTGTGGATCTACACATGGTATAATAAATAATTCTGATGCTCTAATATCAATGTAATAAATTGCGATAATGGTTCATAGACTATTAGACTATAGTACCATAGAACCTAGAGGTCCATATTTACATCCTCTCTGTATGAAGAATAAATTACTTTTAACCTTATGTTGGTAACTCAATAAGCTCTCTTTTCTTAAAAAAAAAAAATGCAAATATACTTTTATAAATTATAGAATTATCTGAAAAAATTATGTACAATAAAGTTATACAACTTGGGACTATTTAAACTTTAAACTGGTAAGACATTGTTCCTTATGCAAACAACTGATCTTGGTACTAAAAGTTTACTCATTGTTTCTAAATATTGGTCTCCAAACCTTTTTTGTGTTGGAGTACTTTTTATTTTTTATTTGCATTCCAATAGTTGTGTGTAGAATTTTTATGACTTAGGACTACACTGTTAATTGTGCATGAAAACTTACATTAATATTTCAAAATGGCTAATCAATATAGGTAATTTTTAATGCAATTTTAAAACGAAATAAAGCACATATGAATAAAATGTACATTTGCAAACTAAGCGTATAAAACCTATACAAATAAAAATAACATTTTAATGTAATTAATACTCTTAACATAATTTATTAAATTGTTAAATAAGATAATCTAATATTTCTAAAATTCTAAAAATAAACTATGTACAAAAATTCAAAATTCTTGCCAGAAGCTTTATTGTATTAAATGTGCTTAATATATTTACTTATTATTTTAAGAGTTTAAGTTAACCACAAGATAAATTTATTTTTGTTTTATTTTTTTTGAATGTATTAATATATATTATTATCTAATAAGTGTATTCTTCTAATAACTAATACATACCATTTGTTGTGCCAGAACTCTATTATATAGGTTCCATGTTGGTATGGGGAAAACTGGCGACCTCCTCACACCCTCTCGTCTTAAAATACCAATATAAAATGTTTCCAGCCAATCCAAAATTGGCTGTAATGCCGGGTATAACGTTTCCAGCTCTTCACTTAGTTGCTCAAACCGAGTAGCTACATCTTCGGGAGGAACAAACGCTAAAGCTGTAATCATCCGTGCACATAGATTGAAATCTGGATTATTTCTATAATCTCTAAAAAAATAATATAGTGTTAGGTATTACAATTTTTAATTTATATTATATATAATTTAACATACGCCATCAACCCTGCAGCTCCAATTTGTTTTTTCAAGTTTTTTAGCAAATGGAAAAAACAACCACGTATTTCAATTGCCGGGAACTCTGTCCGAAAAGCATTGTGGATCGCAACTTCAAAATCCACAGATATACTTGTGGCATTAATGGCAGGCACTAAACGTTTTAGTTCCACTAAAAGTGTACAGTAGGTTGCCTGTTCTTTATTGGGCAGCAGTGCATAAAGACAGGGATGAACTCCGCCATTCCGACATCCTAGTATCACAAATACTTGGGAGAAAAGGTTTGGACTAATACTGAATGTCCCATCAACAAACCACTCATCAGATGTTGTAAGTACCTATAAGAAATATTTAAACATTTATTTATAAATTAATTTTTTTTTTATATATTTATAGAATAGAATCTCACTTCCAAACCTCTCTGGCGACCAAATACTAAGATCCTGTTGAGTCCAGGCCCAGTGTCGCACAGTAAAAAGTTTTCAAATTGTCCAGGTTCCACTTCATACTCCTTAAAGGTGTCTGGGATAACCAAATCAACCAAGGACAGAGGAGCAACAGGCATTTGTGGACCGTTTCGACATCTGACCCTTCTGACAGTTTTTTTTAAACTATCGATTGCTGTTAGTGCTCCTTTTCCAGCAATGGTCATACTCTCTAAATTGTGTATAAGTTATTTGTGAATTATTTTAAACTATATAAATATAAGGCTATTGTTGTATGTTAGTTTTATAAATAGTACTGGTCAGGGGCGAACGCATAGGCGGCTTTGGGGGGTTAACAACACACACACAAAATATTTTCCCGCGTTCACCCCTTGTACTGATTATTTTAATTTAATTGTATTACCTATACACTGGTTAATTGCCACAGCTGGGGTTTCCATTGTTTCAAATGCCCGTTTTTTAATTTTTGTTAATGTAGCTGCTACCTAATTAGGTAAAGAAAATTTGTATAAATCTATAGTGTATAAAATTATGTATAATATTTTATATTTAAGTATCAAAATTGAAAATAGTAACCATGACACATATAATAATCAAAAAGGGCAAATTACAGGGGGTTATGTAGCTAATATTGGTTTAATTATTCTGTTAAATTTAAATGCAATGTACTATTGCATCCTAAAAATTATTTTGAGTGCATTTTGACAACTTATTAATAATAAAAAATTGTAAATATGTATTTTCAACATTTTTGTATGTCAATAAAATCCACTTATAAGAAACATTGTAAATTTTCAAGCCCTCTGGTTAGTAAGAAATTTGAACCTACACAGACTTAAGTTCAAGAAATAGAAAACCACATAAAAACCTCAGCAAAAAAATTCTATAGCTCACTTACAAACTCAACAGGAGCCCCTTACATTTCATTATAATCTCCACATACATACCTACAACATAACGTCATCACAAACGGACCTCATCCTCACGACCTTCTATGTTAAGAAGGCGCTACACTGCATGCATTCTTTCTGTCTTACAAATGCATAACATAGCAAATTGTAGCTCAATTCACTCTAATTTTTAAACTAACAGAACTAAATGTGATCTGCTGAGTGTAAAATTTGCTATATTATGCGTTTGTAAGACAGAGAGAACGCATGCTGTGTAGCGCACTCTTAAAACACGAATACAAAATTAAAATCTTCATTATTACACAAGCACTTCTTCTTAAAGCACCCCTCACCTACTACGTTATACATATTAAATATTATTATACATTTTTTTTCCTTAAAAATATATTTTTTGCTATTTTTAATTTGCTCATTTGTTAAGTTTTACTTTTTTTTACAACATGCATTTGTATAATGGCATACTCAAAAGCAGAATATTTTGCCCAGTACTATAATGAATAATGGTGTGTTATATTATGAGTTGTAACTTTTAAGTACCTGTTTAAAGCTTATATGAGTGGAGAAGTGGACCAACATTATGAACCCTTGCCACTAAACACCGCTCACCTAAACCTTAAACTCAAACTATTTGTCGAAAATACGATTTTAAGTCATCGGAGTACTCAGACTGTTCTGATTTGGAGTATGTCATTAAAAAAAAATAAAAACTTGAAAAATTATAGTAAGGAAAAAAATTGCAATTAGAAATATACCGGGAAAACAATTTAAATAATCAAAAATTTCTAGTAAATATCTAAAATTGTTTTGAAAATTGCATGACTAGAAATTACCTTTATAGTATTTAATGAAAATATCTGGCTCCTACTATTTTATTTTATGAATGGCAACATGAAAAAAATTTCGATTTTATCGTTAACTAGGAGTGTGTAAATTTGTAAAATTGAACTGTAATAAATGAATAAAAATACAAATCTATAACCATTCATGAAGTCAACATTCTGGCCCCTGGGACCGGGATCTAATAGCCCATTATAGAAAAATTAAAAAAGACATTGTAATTTGTACTTACTTCTACATTCGTAGGTGATTCATCATGTCCACCGTGGCCATTCACGACACGTATTTCACCAGGTGTGATATGGATACGGCCTTTGCAATTTATGTCTCTTCTACGACATCTGTAAGATTTAGTTGTACCATTGTTTATCAACTTGTCAAAGACATACTGAAATCCTTTATGGCACTTGACATCAGAATTTCGGTTGCTTTTGACCTCAGAATCCATGTTCAAAAATATTATTAGGTACTTCTCTTTTATATTTAAGAACCTCTTGCTAGGAGAAGAAATAGTCTAATGACGAGCTATATTGATTAATAATAACTAGAGTGTACACTTTTATGTACCCTTCCAAAAATATCGTACTTGCCATAGGACGTACTCAGACGTAGACAGTAATTAAGGAGTTCTTGGTAAACTAAATAAATTTATATTGTATACTGTCTACAATTATTATGTCTAGCCATATTAGACTAACTGGAACTAACTTTGGTGTATATTATATAAAATATAAATAATTAAATATAAATGTAAAACTGGTTACTAAGACGGTTCTAATGCCGTTACAACAAACTAAGTTTAATTTTAGTACTAATTTTTGCTTTTGATAGAATAGCAGGATTAAGCGTAAAATAGTGATCTTCTGCAGTAGTTGCATATGTGCTAATATGTATTAAGTGTTATATATAAATGAGTAAATGACATCAGACGTCCCTCTCATCAGTGGCGTGGCGAGCATATTACAAACCCTAAGCAAAATATTTAAACAATAACCCACCCACTACCCCCTAGTACATAATACATCAATTTAAAGATGCATGCTAATTTAGAATTTTTCTTATAAAACGTCATAAATAATTTATCATAAACAAAATACTACAATAAATTAATTATACATTCATTCACGCAAATTTTAATTTTTAAAAATATAAAATTAATGTCTAGGGCTAAGCAATTGCATTAGGTAAATGTCGTATACCACGCCACTGCCTCTAATAGTCTCATAATAATTTTTATAAATATTTAGTATGGAATATGTAACAATTATTGTTATGTACTTACATGGGCGTGCTCAAGGGTGAGGAGGGGGGTGTTAGGGGAGGTTCAAATTAACAATTTACAAATATAATATATTTACTTACATATAACTATAATAATTTATTGGGAACAAATCTAGTTTAGCACTCACGCTAGTTGTTTCATTTTTTTTTTTTGGAAACCTATGTATTACAACGAGTTAATAAGAATGATGACCCAAAAATAATTGCCAAAACTTATTAGTTTATAAGTTATAGCCCCTTTCAAAGTTCACAATTTTTGGTGTTTTAGGCATCCGTACAACTCAATATTTTACCGCGCATTTGAAACATTTCTATTTTCCTGTTTTATCCTTTTTTGAATTTTATTTGTTTTAACGTACCTAATACGATGGGGAAGTCTGAATTTTGCGGGCAGACTTATTTTAAAGTTATAAGCAATAGAAGTTTTTGAAATTTTCATATACAACCGGCGTGGTCAATTAAAATCGAATACATCCCTCGACTTGTTATGTAAAACCACCACGGGTGGGTGTCAGAATTATTTTTGCACCATAATATTTAAAACGTTGATTTTTAATTAGGTATTAAAAAAAAAATTTAAAATTCGTTAGCGAAAAACACTGAAAATCGGGAACTTCGTAATGCTCTACCATAAAAACTAATAATTTCCGGCAATTAATTTTTGCACAATCATTTTAACTGGTTGTAATAATAATACATAGGTGTCCAAAAAAAAAATTAAAAAATTTGAGAGGGAGCTAAACGCCTAAGCTAGATTTATAACGCTAAATTTAACAAATATTTAGTTTGAAACAAATTTCAAACCAACCCTGAGGTTATTCAATATTCCTGAGCATGCCTCTGTGTACTTATGTCCCCACAGATAATGTTAAATTTGGATTCAATGATAAATTATTGTATACGATAAAAACGACGGTTATAAATTATAATATATTATGTAGTTAGGTATATTCTTGACATTTCAAAACAAATTTAGTATGATTAAAAGAATTGACTATTTATTTTATATTTATATATTATTGATATTGTATTACAAAATATGTACTATGAGTAAAAAAATTGGCTTGTTGTTTTTAATCATACAAAGACAGACATTGAAATCTCGTGAATATGTGTGACTGTCTTACTGACTACTGTTTTAGGCAGGTGTACATCATTTTTGTTATACAGTTTTTTTTTTTTCGGGGATTAAATCTCCGGGGTTATCACTCTAGGAGCCGTTCTCCAGCCCCCCCCCCCCCCTAACAAAATAAATATTCGTGAAGCTATTTTATGTATAATATGAAGGTATTATAGTCTAGAATCTAGATAGACTAACTAATATATTTATATAGTAAACACTTTATATATAGGAATAGGTTTGATGGAAAAGAGTTATATTTTTGGACTTAGATAGGTTAGGTTAGGTAGGTTCATAAAATAAATAACATTGATAGGTGTAAAAAGATTGTATATTTTGCATAAAAGTTTTTTATAAATAAACTATAAAGGTTTATTTTAATATTCTTGTGATACAAAATCAGTTTTGTATACACAATACACGTGTATAAATGTACAATAATAATTATTACAATATAAACTTAATTATGCGCACGCCTATGGTACCTACATACTAGCTAGCTTAGCTTTAGACATTAGACCGTTGAAGTAACTAATTCAGTAGGTAGTAGCTAGGTACCTAATTACGATTTACGTTGTTGATGCTCTTAAATGTATCGTAAATATTAAATATTGTTAAACATTTTTGAGGATTTTTTAATTATTGTAGAAATATAAAATTAAATTTTAAATAAAGGTTTGGTTACACGTATAATCATACCTACGGAGATCACTATTATTTCAACAGTAGTTTTAAAATGTTATCTTTTCATAATTATATAATATTTATTCAGTAATTATTTGCTTTTCTGCAGTGAGCTTTGTTTTCGCGGTGCCCTACATTTGCCTGGTGCCCTGTGCAGGTGCACTGGTGGCACTGCCCTTGCACCGGATCTGCCTACCATTTAAAAAAAAAATAGTAACCTGAAAGTATATAATAGTCAGTAAAAATTATAGATATTTAAACTACACGACAAGCAATTGTAACAGTAACAAGTCACATTTATAATTCATACCATACTGTTGTATTAATAATTATAGGTAGGTGCATACAATTAATATATAATATAGTCTTATTGTCTTAAATAGATAGGTTTATGACGTATAATTATATAACAATCTAAATTTATGATTAGTTTGCTGTTTAATTGGATGGTATTTTAGTTTTTACATATTATGTACCTAATTAATTAAATATAATATAACATATTAATTATATAAATAATAAGGTAAACGTTATGAGTATATAAGTTATAATATGGTCTAAACTCTACAGTTTAATTTTGTTTTTAAAAAAAAATTTGAATACATATAATATAGGTATATAATATAATTATTGTAAATATATTCTATTATACAATGAGTTCTGGGGGAAGTCATAATATGAAAGTATACCAAACATGATGAAAAATACTCTTTAAAGAGTTGATCTAACTTTTTTATTTTTTAAGTTATGGGTAATTCACTTTTTTATCAAAACTAAACCTCTCACCATATGCGCAATTTGGACAACTGATTTGGGGGGGGGCTAAATTTATTAAATCAATACAGACCCGCATAATTTTTTTATTAGGTGCATTTAAGAATGAATATATTTAAAAACTTAGAGGAGTTCAAATAAAACTAGAGGGGGCTATGCCCCCCTAGACCCCCCAAATTACGCCTATGCCTCTCACACATTTGTTTATGAATCTTCAAAACTTTTCAACATCAACATTTTGAAGGAATTTTTTTAATTTATTTAAAGCTATTTACTTTATCAACAAACATACTCAATTAAATTAGAAATGTGCAAATTATTTTTATTAAATTGAAAAAAGTATAACATTTCAAAATCAACCCGTAGTAAATACCAAATTATTTAGAGTACCTACCTAGTAATTTAAAAAATAATAATTTTTGACGAAAAATGTTTACTTTTTAATGTAATAAAAATAATTGTCCGATTGCGTATGTTGATAGGAGTATAGGACAATTAAATAGCTTTAAAATAGAAATAAATTTCGTCAAAATGTTGAAAAGTTTTGACGATAAATAAATAAATGCTTGATAGGTTTGGTTTTGATAAAAAAAATTTAATTGCCCATAACATCAAAAATAAAAAGTTAAATCCACTTATTAAATGGTATTTTTCATTATTTTTGACATACTTTCATATGACCTCGGTCGGTCACTTCCTCCCGGAACATATTGTAAAGCCTATATTTTAGGAATTTGTTTGTGCGTTGAATAGTACTACTCTACTATAATATACAGAAGAATCATTTGCGTTGTAGTCGTATGACTTGTGAATATTGATTATTAATCTGACCCTTGCATCTTAAAACAAATTGTACCTACACGATAATATTTTATTGCAACCACTAGACGACTGAACAATATAATATAGATCCTCCTCGACTTACTATAATCAACGAAATAAATTATTTAATAAGATAAAAATTAAAAGGCTATAGTATAATATATTAATACATTATACATTTCACAAAGCATAGAATATAGATATTTTATCTTTACTAATTTACGACATATACCCCTTTCGTTTTTAAAACTTGATTTAGGTACACTACACATAAATAAGTAATTGCTTAATATGATTAAAAATGCAATAAAATTGCTATAATAAACAAAATGTGAATATATTTTCAAAATTCGAAGGGTTGGTCGGAATTTTGGTCTGGCGGCGAAACGGTGGCGGCGAATCGGTGGCGGCGAAACGGTGGCGGCGAAATGTCCGGCGGCGAAACGGTGGTGGCGAAATGTCCGGCGGCGAAACGTCCGGCGGCGAATCGGTCGGCGGCGAAACGTCCGGCGGCGAATCGGTGGCGGCGAAATGTCCGGCGGCGAAACGGTGGCGGCGAAATGTCCTAGACCCATATTTTCGACATAATTATATGAGTAGGTAACTAGGTACTTCTAAATAATCTACTAGCATAGAATATTCTATGCTGCTGGCGTAATTGCCAAAAATGAACAAACGTAAATACCTACCTAATAGTTTTTTAAGTTCAATAAATCATTTATAAGTTGAAGATGACGTGGAGCCGTATTCATAGCCGATGCTTAAGAATTTGTATTTCTTAAGCTAATTTTAATGACTTAAAAATAGAATCTAAAAATTGTGATATCAACTAAAATAAATGCTAAAGGTAGGTCTCGACCAACCTTAAAAACAAGTAATACCTATTTTTTTTTTAAGCCAAAGTCTTGTTTATTAATCTCATTTAAGCAATAACTTTTCGGTGACAACATCTAACAACTGACTATACCTAAGTGTCTATAACATTCATATAAAACTAAAATAAATATGATTAAATATATCTGGCAGGTACCTACCTATGATCATAACCAAATGTTTTTATATTACCTACATTGGTTTTACATGGTTATATAGGCACATTGGTTATATTAGTTTATCACTTTTACCAAGTCATGTTTTTTTATGTATCATCAATGTTTTCGGGTAGCAATACTGATTTAAAAATTGCATATATACCTATTTCAGGATTTATTTTATTTAAAAATGTATTGCAGCTGATCTCCTTAACTACAATAATGTCTGATAGTTGATACATTAGTATAAGACTTAAAAACTTGTTTTCTTCTTCTCGTATGTTTACTACATGTCTACATAGTACGTATTATACTTGTTATTCCAGATAGGTAACTTTTTAAAAATTTTAGAAAAAACTACTGACATTTGGTAAAACCAAAAGTTATTTGAGCTAAGTACACAACAAGTATTAATAATAAAGTGATTATTCTTATATAATTTTTTAGAATATTTCAAGTTTAAAAAATGAATATGCCAAAAAACTAAATTAACTTTAGTATTATCCCCAAAATTGTTAGAAACTCGACACTTGAATAATAATAACACATAATAACACTTTTTAAACAATTTGAACCAAATTAAAGTCTAAGAATACAATAACCTGCCAAATGGATTGCCACTCATGCCCCTTAAACAGAAATATGTGGTTTTATGTGATTTCAGAATTCTACGGTCCAGGTTTGTACGGTCCAGAATTCTACGGTCTAGATTTGTACGGTCCACAGTTATACGATCCAGATATATATGGTCCAGGTTTGTACGTCCAGAATTCTACGGTCTAGATTTGTACGGTCCACAATTATACGGTCCAGATATGTACGTCCAGAACCCTACGGTCCAGATTTGTACGGTCCAGATATGTACAGTCCGGGTTTTTACGGTCCAGATTTATAAATTCCAGGTTTATACATGGACCCACATTTCTCATGTGCGACTGGTGTTTTACGTCGGGAAAATGACCAGTTTTCTTTAAGCAATTTACTAAACGTGAGAAAATCATTCGGAAAGGTTGATTTCTAGTAGGAAATCTTTCTCTATATAACTCCAGTGATTTTGGACTATTATTGTTACACTCACGGTATACAAAAATCATGCCGACTTTTTCTTCAGAGGTAAATAACGGCATGGTATAATTTAAATTAATTATACACAAACTTTCAAAATTAGGTTGTGTACAATAATAAACAAGAAAATGAATAACAAATTAAAATATATATTTTATTGAAGACAATATGAATATACAACTATACATGTGTTATTGTACAGAGAACAAATGTTAACATTCGTGATTAGATAAAGTTAAGGTTTTCCCTAAATATAAGTAAAAAATAAAAATGATATATTTTACATTATCTTATGCATCTAATACAATGGTCTAGACAGTATCTAGTCTACTTTACAACATAATATATTGTGCGTTTTATTTTAAAGTACCTATATACATTTCATATTGATATTAAATTTTGTTCTTTTACATTACCTAGTTCAATATTTAACAGTTTAAATTTTAAATAAAAATTGATAAATATCCCAAAACGTATGATGATTATCTATCAATGGATACACACAACGATAATATATCAGAATTAGAATTTTATAAACATGGCTATACTTTGTTATACGAGTCATTAGAATCAAATACCCAGGTAAAGTATTTCTACTCTGCTATTTTTTTTTTTTAATTTTTCAATGTTATAATACCTGGTTAATAATTGTTTTGATCACAGGTAGCACATGAGTTTAAAGTTCAAAATGATATATTACACTCCGACTTAAGTGAAGTATATGAGCTGAATGAAAAACTTAAGGAAGAGATTGGCGATTCTTCATTAAAATTGGTACACATATTATTCAGATTTTAATAAAGTTTGCTTAAGGCTAACACACATTGGAGCAGCAGCAGTAAATATGTCTAACTGCATTATATCACGACTGCTGCTACCACAGCATGTGTGGGCCTTAATACACCTATCATGAAATGTTTCTACAGTTTATCAAAACTTGCTTTCTTTATACATATCTAATAAGTAACATTGCAAAAAAAAAAAACTTACATTGCAATTATTAAAACTATCGTTAACTATGAAATTAAATATTTAATTACTACAGGATGATTTTAAGGCAAAACATACGGCCTTAAAACAAAGATATGATGCCATGTATATGGAAAATGAACATTTGAAAAAAAAGTTGTGGGATTGGTAAGATAAATTTAACAGCTAATCTACTAATACTAATAACTGAAACTAAAATACTTAAAATAATACATACTAAAACAAAAATTACAGAAAAAGGACATAGAAAAAATGGTCACAATAAATCATATTGAGAAGCTTTTGGATAAAAAATTGGCTAAATTGGAGAACAATATTATACGACAGCTTCAACCCTCCAATTCTACTAACACGATTACCGAAAAAACCATCATGTACAAGCCGGAACAAAGACACTCCAACTTGCGGCCAACTTCAACCTCAACAACCGGCAGTCAAAACATTTAATAATGAATGTATAGATTTGGTGGTAAAGGTAAATTGTGCACATTTATTAAATAGTTAACAACACAAAGCCAGCAAACCTGTTTAAAGAAAAAAAAAATCAAAAATTAAATAAGTACCTACCTAAGTAATATTTTATTATTTAAAGAACATACTTACTCGTAAATAATATTTTACTATAGTGCACGGAATGGTGGTGTCCTATGCATTCTGACTTCAAAGGATTGGTGAATTTGGTCAAACCTATAACCGAAGAAGACACATCTATTATAAAAAAGGCGAAATATAGATATGCGTATTGGACCAAAGGAGGCGTGGTAATCTAATTAGAGGATATTTTTATAATCAATATTAAGCATACATTAAATGAGTAATTTACTATAAATTAACAGGTTCGCTGTTGTACAATATACAAAAAACGCCAATGCGTCGTACGAAATGCCATAATGCTGGCCTTTATCCATGCCCATGGATATGGAAAAATTAACTGCTGACTTTTCTAAATTGAAAAATACTTAAAGTTAAAACTGAAAGTTGTCAATATTATAAATTATTATAAAATATAAAACTTACTTGATACTAGAATGTCTACATAGTTTTTCAGATTCTAAAATATAAATGCATGTTAATGTGATATAACTGTCAACTAAAGTCTGAAGTCTAAACACACTATGTTTACAATTAAAGGTTAGATGTTAGAATTTAGTTTACAAACTTGAACGCACAAGTTTATAGAGTCTGTATACCAACTACATACCAACAAAATACAAACTACATTTAAGTATTATTTAATATTTATCCATGAAAATAAATGAATGCAACAGGCGCCAACAAAGGACATTTCATTCTTTTATTTTCCATAATAGATTATATTTTAATTTCATGGGAAAATAAATGTATTGTACACATATCATGGATGCTACAACTACAACAATTTCAGCTATAATTGCTATATACATTAATAAAGTAAATATTATGTATACATTTAGGTATAATAATTTGCATGAATATAATAATATACATCCGTATACCTAGGTATAGTATGTAGTATTGTCATAGTGCTACTCAGGAGTGCGTTCAGAAACGTTTTCTATGTAGAATTAACTTTTTCGCCGGGGAACGATGTGACTCCTCCCATCTTATTGAACCATTCAGTTATCAATAAGGTTACCGAGGTATGTTAACCTCATAGTAGAAGAACATGTTTATAATACTTTTAATATAAAAGTGATAAAGTGATAATATAATCATTAATCATAATATTTATAAATTGTATACTATTTTATAGGTTTATTTTGATTTGTACCAAAATAAAATTATTAATTTTTTATGAATTTTAATTTTTTTTGGTGTACATCATTTAAACATTTGTTATTTGTAATTGAAATTATTTTATTATGAGTAACCATCCCAGAGTTCTAGCTATAGCGGCAAGTAATTCGTTTAAATTACTTTTAGACTGTGGACTATATTTTTTTAATGATGATGATGATAATGATAATGACGAGGATTTAACCTGTGAGAAAGAGGTTCCAATCAGGATCAAAAACTACATCGAAAATGTTGTTGTTCATTATTCAGATAATGTATTTCAAAGCCATTTTAGGTAAATAAAAGGTTTATTTTAAATGTACCTATATAATATTATTCATTCTGGTAAATTGCAAAAATGAGATAAATATATATTTCTTTATACACATTTTAGATTATCCAGATCGGTGTTTTATAATACTCTAATACCCATGATAGAAATAAGTCAAAACAACACAACCGATAGAGCAAAAAAAACAGGAAGACCAGAAATTCCCATTGAAAAACAGTTATTGTCAGTCCTTTGGATACTTGCCACTCCAGATTCGTATAGGTAAATAGTTAATACAATAATACTTACTTTAAAGTTTCATAGATTCATAGATGATAATGAAAAGCATAGCATTTATAAAAAACCATAGGACATTATTTAAAATATATTTATATTAATAGTAGGTACCTGCCTATTAACTATTTTATTTTCTGTTTTGTTTTATTTTTTGAATTTTATGAAATACAATTTTACATTTAACTATGTGTAATTTTATTTGTTTGTAAGTTAGTACAAACCATTAAACAATTTCTCATAAAATACACATGTAGTACAGTTAAACTTATTAAAAATGATATATTGGTAAATGGTAATACATTTATGGTAACTAGTAAGTGTGAAGCGAGGTGTGAAGTAACTTAACTTTTTAATATATTAATACTTAAACTAGTTATTTTTTCACTAAAGTATTTATTTGAGCATATTCATACCTATATTGGCTATATTAATTTTGATTCATTATTTTTATATAAGTTCTTACCTATGATTATCTTAACTACATAGCTAAATATAATTTGAATCCTAAACTTAATATATCGAATCTACTTTTAATTTTACATGAATACAATTTTATCTTGAATGAAAGTTAGACAAAAAAATCAGAAGACCAAAATAATTAAATGTCAATAAATGTGCGCCAACCACAAAAAAATTCCTGGATCCACCCTGTGAAATAATTATACTAATTACTTAATAAATATTAAAACATGCAAGAAGTATTATTTATTAACCTAACCTAACCTAGAGGCTATGTATAATGTTTTAAAGATATCTACTGACTATAATTTATAATTTTAGAGATTTAATTACCTACTACTATGTTATTGGCTAATAATTCTATAGTTTTACAATTTAATTTAATATAAAATTAGAATTAAATAATACAACACTAACTATATAATAATTATTGGTGTAATTGCGTCCATTATAGTATTATTTCAATATGATTCAGGATTCTGATTAAAGTTATACGCGCTACCATAAGTGGTTCAAGTGTATAACCCCACACTATTACTATAATAATATAATATATTAATTTAATATTGATTGTACAATAGCAAAATATACAACCCAACGCATACACTAAACAAACTGACAAACATTGTATACATTGTGGTTAGAGTTAAATAATTTTTTTTTGATTTTTAAGTACATTATTACATATATTATGTAAAATCTCATTAAAATCAGATCTTTACACTTTATATCGTTTATGTTTAATATTTAGATCAGTCGGAGAAAAGTTTGATATGGGCAAATCATCACTGTCAGTATCATTTTTCAGAATTATTAATTTAATAATAATGAATGCTTCCAATGTTATAATTTGGCCTCACGGAGAAGAGTTGGAACGGCAAAAAGAATTGTTTTTTCGTATGGCAAGTATCCCAAATGTCATTGGAGCTGTAGATGGTACTTTGATTCCCATAAAGGCGCCAAAAGAAGACCCAGAAGTGTATGTAACACGAAAATGCAATTATGCAATTACCTTGCAAGCAATTACAAATGCCAAACTAAAATTTACCGATGTTTTTGTTGGCTATCCGGGTTCTGTGAGCGACACTCGTATATTTCGAAATTCAGACATATATGTGAATATTATGAAAAATGAAAAATTTTATTTTCCAAATGACGAGCATATCTTAGGCGATAAAGCATATCCTCCTCTTACATGGTGTGTTGAACCATACATTAACAGGGGTCGTCTGACTGAAGCTCAAAAAAACTTCAACTTCAACATTTCTAGAACTAGACAAACTGTAGAACGGTCGTTTGCTTTATTTTTTGGTAGATTTAGACGGTTTAAATACCTAGATATGTCAAGGACTGATTTCATCCCATCCACGGTTCTGGCAGCATGTATATTACATAATTTGTGTTTAAAAAACAAGTCAAATGTTAATGTAAATGACTATATTGAAGAAGGGATGAATTTTTTGAGAGACCAAAGAACTGAATGTTTAAATCCTGCAAGAGAATCATCAGAAGATCACTGCCGCACAGATGGAAAATTAAAAAGAGATACAATGTGTGAACTTTACAATGCTTAATACTGGAGCTGATTTCTGTAGTATATATTATGTTAAATTGTATTTGGTTAATATGTATTATATATTAAATTTAAAGGTAAATATTTTTTTTTAATTTTATTAATAAAAACATTGTACAAATTAAGCAATATCACAGTGTAACAATATTATTTTAGTAATAATTAAATTCATAAATCTTAAAAATATTAACAAATAAAATAAAATACAGACATTAAAGTACATTCAATCTACTTCGATTGAGTTCTATCCTCTGTAGTAAAACATTAAAAAACAATTTTTCTTGGATCACAATTTTTCCAATAGTTTATCCATATATGTTTTATACGTATCAAGTGCAAGTTGAGACATGGCCATCTTTTCATCATGTCTTTTTTGTATTGATGCTTCGTGGACACTTGTATTTTTTTTTTGTTTTTTTAGTTCTGGAGGAGTGATATTTGAAACATGTTTGGGTGAAGACACATTATCTTCGTCAAAGATACCACAGTTTTCTTTGATGCCTGTAAATAATAAATGTATTTCATAACATTTGTATTGGTGATACATATTATATTGAAGATATATTACTAACCATTATAAATGCGACTAGATGATGCCAAATGCTTTGGTCTTATGTTGGGTTTTCTACCAAATAACTCATCAAGTTCATTAAAAAATTCAAACTCATATACAGCACTTCCTGTCTCATGTCTATTGTCTAATTTTTTTTTGTAGCACAATAGTAAATACTTGAATTTTCCTTGGCATTGATCTTCAGTATATTCAATCTGCTTTCTAAATGTATAAAAATTATTTATTTTATCAATATACATATACAAAATGTTAAACAAATATCTGAAAAATGTACTTCTTTAGATCTTTTGAAACTTGAATCCAACCTAAACGATTTTTTTTTGAGTTTGATTCGAATATCAAAATATTATTCTCATACGCCTCAATAAGGAAAAGTGTTTCAGACTTGGTCCAATTTTTGACTCTTTTTTCATTTGTACTACACAATAAAAAAATTGTAAACTTCAAATAATAAATATACTACCAATTATTAATTATAAAATCAAACGAGTATTCAATGTTAACAAAAATTGAATAATAATATTATAAATTCTTCAATTATGAACTTATTTACCTTGTTTCATCTGATAAGTTATTAAACAATGTTGTTGGTTTAGCTTTAGAATGTTCCAACTGTTGAGGCAATAGTTCTTGGTCTTGACTAAAAAAAAATGTATTTATTTATTAACGGGCAAGGGAGAAGGTCCAAGAAAGTATAATAAAAGTTATATAAATTGAATTAATTTCACAAGCCCTCCCAGCTATTTGTTATAGCTTAAACAATACGAGAGTATTGATGAATTTATGTATTTTGAATATTTACAAAAATTGAATAATAATATTGACTATGAACTTATTTACCTTGTTTCAGTAGATAAATTACCAAATGACGTTGTTGGTTTATACTTTTTTAACTTTTGAGGCACTGCTAGTTCATGGTCTTGACTACAAAAAAAAAATGTATTTATTAAAGATCAAAGTGCCAAGAAAATAGAAAGTATAAATTCAATCGAATTCACAAGTTTTCTTAGCTCATTAGGCATCATAGCTTAAACAATATGAAAGTATTCAATATGTTTATAAAAATTGAATAATAATATCAACTATCAACTTATTTACCTTGTTTCATCAGACAAACTATCAAACAATGGGTTTGGCTTATACTTTTTTAACTGTTGTGGCCGAGGCACAAGTTCATAATCTTGACTACAAACAAAATGTATTTATTAAAGAGTGAAGTGCCAAGAAAATAGAAAGTATAAATTGAATCAAATTCACAAGTACTCTTAGCTCATTAAATATATCATAGCTTAAACAATATGAAAGTATTCAATATGTTTATAAAAATTGAATAATAATATCAACTATCAACTTATTTACCTTGTTTCATCAGACAAACTATCAAACAATGGGTTTGGCTTATACTTTTTTAACTGTTGTGGCCGAGGCACAAGTTCATAATCTTGACTACAAACAAAATGTATTTATTAAAGAGTGAAGTGCCAAGAAAATAGAAAGTATAAATTGAATCAAATTCACAAGTACTCTTAGCTCATTAGGTATATCATAGCTTAAACAATATGAAAGTATTCAATATGTTTATAAAAATTGAATAATAATATCAATTATCAACTTATTTACCTTGTTTCAGCAGATAAATTACTAAACAATGTTGTTCGTTTAGCTTTAGAATGCTTTAACTGTTGAGGCACTAGTTCCTGGTCTTGACTAAAAAAAAAGTATATTTATTTATTAACGGACAGGGGATAATGGCCAAGAAAGTATAATAAAAGTTATATAAATTGAATTAATATCACAAGCTCTCCTAGCTATTTATTATAACTATAACAATATAAAAGCATTCATTATATTTGCAAAAATTGAATAATAATATTGACTATGAACTTATTTACCTTGTTTCAGTAGATAAATTACCAAATGATGTTGATGGTTTATACTTTTTTAACTTTTGAGGCACTGCTAGTTCATGGTCTTGACTATAAAAGAAAGAAAGTATAATATATGAAATATGAATTAATGAGTATAATTATATGAGTTATATTAATTATACTATTAAAGCGAATAATAACTAGAAAGTAAAAATAACAAGGCTTAATTATTAGTTAACTTGAAAGTTTTTTTTAAATTTAATTTTTAAAAGAAATATACAGTCTATACCCGGAGGGCACAATAAGAATATGTGCTAATTTACAGTGGTATTGATACGCTTGTTAAAAGAAGCCACCCAGTAGTGTCACTTACTGTAGATTTTTATTAGATTATTAGACTAATCCTTTTAATTTATTAAGAGGTTTCTGCACAATTTCTTTTTAAGGCGACGTCGAGGATTACCACTTACCAGGAATTTTATTTGGTGATAAGTTATGGATTAATGGATTTGTATGACCAATAAGAGGATCGTGAAAACGTTTGTAGAAGAATTTAGCTTCTTCTTGGACAGTTTTTTGGTATGGATCGGTGTGAAGTGTGTAATTTAATATGTATCGAGGAGAGTTAGTAATTTTTCTTAGAGTAATATTTTGAAACAGCTATATTGTTTTAAGATTGGATATTTTGGCATTGACCCGCAGTTGAAGACCATGGGTTCATTTAAGTTTTAGTAAGGATTTGTACATGAGAAGTTTAATGTTTAAGTTGGTGTGTTTGTTGTTAATTGGAATGTTTTAAGCATGCGTAGCCTAGTATTTAGTTGCAGTCTTTTAGTTTTAATATGGTGTGTCATGTCAGACAACAGTCAAAATATTTGATCGTTACTTGAAAGTTTAAATAAGAATTAGCATAGCCAGCACTAAATATTAATTAAAAGAAAGGGGCATTAATGTTTATGAAACAAAAATTAATTATAGTAGTAATGCTCGCATGCATAGTCAAGTATGTGTTACATAAAATATGGTAAACTACGTCTTGTGTGACAAATACATTGACTATATGCATATGGACACAATAGTGTCTATTAAATTAATATTCATTATTTAATAGATTTGTTAAGATAGAAATATGCTAAGTGCTAACATATTACAAGACAATTACTTAGTATCTTTTCTTTTTAACTTACCTATGATTTTTGAGATGTTCAGACATTTTTGTTAATATAACGTAACTATTGCAAATGGGACATTTTTCCTGGAATAAAAACAAAATTAAAAGTTCTTACTAGTTAGATATATCAAAATTAGTTATATTTTTTTACACACTTACAACTGTGACTTGAGGAAACATTATTTAAATGAATATGTAGTTTAAATTCTTAAATTACAAATAGATTGGTTTGTCATGAATGATGGACCATCAACACGTATTACACGAGACAACAAAAACTAGTCACAAATTGACATTTGTCACTTGTCGCGTTCTTGCACTTTTTCACTCTTGTTCTTTGTTCGTTAATTAATAAATAATAATTATATTATATTTTTAATTTTATGGTTATTTCATATTTTATACATTGTCATTATTATGGCGCGAAAAAAATATTGGTACTAACCACTAACCAGTAACCGTTATAACCAATTTTGTTGTGACGGTCTAAATAGTCCGTTAGAGGAGATTGACTATCTAGTTAGTTATCTACGTTTTTGAACGCAAAAGGGGCGTGTCGGTGAATTCACCGATACGCCCTAAATACTTTCTGAACGACGGTGGGAATTGACTGACGATAGTGGATAACGTTTCTGAACGCACCCCAGTGATAGTACCTATCTTTGATATACTAATCTATACAAGCTCCAAGGTTAGGTCCACGATTAAAGATATACTAGTTGCCGAACGAGTAATATTTACTACAATATTTATTGACATACACAAGTTCTTATCAAAGTACTCTGACTACTAGCGCATCCGGTGTTGAACATTTTAAACTATACCTAGTTAAGGGGGCTGGAGCGTAGTCCATTCTAAGGAGTAAAAACTAGGCAATTTATATTGCAGTGCATATGGGTCCATGTCAATGTGTTGGAAGTAAATGAACATTAGTGTGTGTAATTCGTAATTGTGTACTCTCCGAACTCACTATCCGTTCAAAAACTGGTTTCACATAATAGCCATTGTCATTAGACATGCTGCAATTCACCGAATTTACAATAACTATTACCTAATTACGATAACATAATAATAATATTATTGTACTTAATTAAATGGTAATAAATAATAGATAATACTTCATAGTAAATTGATTTATAGCTAAAAAACAATACTACAATCCTAATAGTATAACTACTCAGTTACCGTAAAGTACCGCACACATATTGCCACGGTAGAAGTGTCGGTAATTTCAGCCAGACATAACTTATATTATGATGACACCACCGCAAGACAAAATAGCATTTGCATTCAACAATATGGATATGGGTCAGTGACATAAAAATTATGACTCGATTTTTATATTTTTGAATAATATAATTGTTGGTTTATAAATTTTTTTATTTTTATTTATTATATAAATTATAATATTATCATGATTCATTAATTTAATTATTACAATTTATTTCCTGTTTTATTAAATTCGGCAAAAGATGTTCCAAATAAAAAAGTTCCAATTTAACTTTCATTTTATTTCCCAGAATTCATCGTCACGTTGTATTTTTTCGTACATCAAACCTGAAAAAACAATATAATATTTAGGTATTATTAATTTAATGTTTTAATTATTTAAACAATATTGATTACCTTTTGGGGTCCATATACAAAAATAGCAATACATTTTCCGACTGATATGTAATTGCCCCTGAACTTGGTAATAATAATTATCATTACGTTTTAGTTGTAATTGTCCATTATTTACCAAGCAACTTTTAATTTTGCCATTACTTATCGCTTCTTCTGGTGAAAGTTCCTTAGCACTAGCTGGACACTTAATTTCTACCAACGAATCATCACCTATAATACCATCTGGGGAAGCTGCTAAAAATGGTAATTTTACATCAACAAATAAACCAGAAGGCAGAATTTTTATTTTTAATTGTGCTTCCAATTGTTCTTTTGCTACTACTTCATTAGCAATTCCATATCTAGTTGCAGCATTTCCGGTAAATGTCCCAAATAAAATATCATTTACCGTTTTCATACGAGATGTTTTTTCACGCAATTTACAAATTTTTCCAAAGAGAGATGCAGTAAGTCTGTAAATAATAATATAGTCAAAAAACAATAATAATATTGAATCAGTTCAATTTAAATTTGTGAATACTAACAGTTTTTTTCTCTCAATGTACCATTCTTCGCATTGATGTTGCCTCTTAGTTCTAATTTCTAATGTTTTTACTTGGTACTCAGAAAGTGATAATTTTTCTAGGTATGTACATTTATAATTTTCAATTTCACTTTCAGTCATTTCTAAAAATGGATCATGTGATACATTTCCATAATTTTCATCTGGCCCAAGGTTTGTCTGAGACACTACAGATCGTTTAGGTGTTTTAAAAAAACAACTACGACTATTTTTTTTGCCAATTGTTCCTAACTTTCTTTTAATATAACTTTTAGTGAATTTTCCTGGACTTTTATCAGTAACATGTTTGTTGAAAATAGATAAATGATTTGCACCTTGGTTGTATGATGTGACTGCTGCATTACATCGAAGTTCATAAGAACCTAAAAAATAATAAACAGCAATAATTCACCAATCTGATAACTTAATATATTTAACAAAATCAGATTTTTTTTTAAGATGGTAACTGAAATATATTAAAAAGGTACGTGCATATTTATTTTGATTTTTTATAAAATTATGGTTGAGCGGGAACTTAGTATACGTCACCACTCACCTACTCCACTGTTCACAATTTTTTTTTTTGGTATATAATGATTAATGACTTACCATTGAATACAAATTTAAAACATTTCACATACCTTTTTGGGAAAAATTAACTCGTTTTCCTCCAATAAATTTTGCTAAGATAGAATTATAAAGTTCGGCTACGTTATTATTGAAATTATACATTAAACTTTCGGTGTGATATGTAAGTAAATTTCTGGCATATGTTATATCGTCCCACATTTCAAATCTTTTCAATTCATCAACTAAATTATTTTCCCCTAGTTTTTGGTTCATTGTTCATACTGTTCATAGATTTTGTGTGATTACCTTCCTTTGGCCCGTCGCAGAAATACCGTCTACAATTAGCGTGATCGCCGAAAACATGATTGGGACCGTTTACTATATCAGCTTTTAGGATTATTAACCGTGTTTCATATGGTACATTTGTCTGCAAATTATATTTTATAGCCTCAGTGACAGCATATCGTAATCTTGTCAAACGTGTTTGGACTATATTCCTAAGAAAGCAAGGAATCGCTTCTCCTTTAGAATTTTTTCTTTTTTTTTGTCAAATCCCGTAAACGATTTATGTAATTACGCAATAAATGGTTGCTGCATTCAATCTCTTTTATCATAAAACCGGGCCCATATGGTTTAGCTATACGTAACCGTTTCATCACACTACTATCTCCATCGCCTAAATAATAATATAGATAAGTATAACAAAATTTAATTTAACTTTTTAACCTCTAGATTTAGGATTTAAAGTATTTTTTAGTTCATAGAAATACAAATTGGGGGGTCAAAATTGAAAATGCCCGTTTAAGCGTTGAGAATAAAAAATAAAGTAAATCTATAATTTTTACGCAAAGGCAGTTTTCGACAAAATTTATTTTATTATTTTATTGTAACTCAAAAAAACATTTACCATAGTATAACACCTCACATATTTATAGATTTGAATGATCAGTTCTATGTGGTGTTATGTGACAACCAGTTGTATAGATAGGGTCGCCAACCAGAGCCCGAGACCGAAGTCAGGGTACTCTGGATTTTTCTTTTATAATAAAGTAATATATATATAACACGATTCTGCTTTATTATAATCGTTATGTATATTTTTGAGAATCAAATGATAATGCGAAGTTATAAACAAAGAAAAGCCTTGCGGCATAAAAACTTTGTTCAAAAAAAATAAAGTTAAGTAATAAAATGTAGTAAAATAATATAAGTAATGTCATCGAATATGACTTGACACATCATGCAAAATAAAAAAAATAATAAAGTGTATCGGCCATACCACGGGCGTCCGACCACGGCATAAGTATAAGTAATTGACTATTATCAATTACTTATTTCTATATTTTTATTTTTATTTTTTTATTTTTATTTTTTTTTTTTTTTTACTTATATACCGTATCCTACGGCTGCGGTACGCCTCGGGCTGCCACACATATATATATATTACAATGATAGTGATAAAGAATAAGATAATAGAATATAGTCTGACATTTAAATATTTTACATGCAATGAAAATAGTGAATACCGGCCAAGGTGTGATAATATCTTTTTGTTTTTTATATTTTTAATTTTTTTTTTTTTGTACTCACGTACTCCGGCCCATCTTGGCTATACCCGCCACGGGCGCACCGGAAATGATCTGCGGTAGTTTACTCCATATTGTTGGTGTTCAACAATATGGACAAAAAAATCACGCGGAGCTGATTCCGCGTGCGTGCGTGTTGGGAACGGTGACACGAAAAAGTGACGAGAAAAAGAAAACATTGGCCAATATTCACTACTTTTAATTGCGTGGTTTCTTATGCAACCTTTGCTCTCGCGTCGGGTATTGTTCATCGGCGATGCGGCGGAGGGAGGTTACCGATGTAGTGTGGCGGTGTTATCGTCATGACACTGATCTAGAGGAGGGAACATTATAACTTGGCCAGCACTGTATTGATGTATAATTTCGAACGTTACAGAAACCCCCCTGTAGAAGTGTACCGGGCTTGCCGAGGGACGCTTCTGCACACGAAAAGGGAGAAATTGTAAATAATTAACATTAACATGGTATAGGGGTCGTTTTCCGGGCTTCGCAGAGGTACATTGGTATGGTGGACCTTATCCCTCATAACAACATTATTGTGCTATTGTGGTTTTCAGACGGACATACTTTCGGAGGAAGATCACGTTAAATGTTCCTCGTACCTGATTCGTTACAGGGTCGTTTAACACATACGCGTTATGGTTTTTTACTTCGATAATATTGTATGGACCTTCATACAACATGAAAAATTTTTTAATCTGTCGGTCAACAGCTGAGGAGGAGTGATGGGTACGAACTAGGACTTCATCTCCTATAGAAAATTTTGTGGGTTTCCCTGACGATCATGGCGAATGCGGCGTTCTTCAGCTTTGGTTCGTTGAACCTCGGCGGCCATGGTTAACTTGACTGTATAGTCA